AGGGATCATCAAGGGATGCTTCTCCAACGCGGCGCGGCACCGACAAGAAACTATTGGAAGCGACGTCAAAGGCAGCAGGGGCAGCTCCCACAGACGAGACATACGAGTACTCCAGCACCAATGAGAAGAACCGCCCGAACTTCGACATCAGTACCCCGCCATGGGCTCCTCGGACGCCCAGGGGATCGGCAGGCGCTGCTTCGTCGCCGGCGGGCGCTCGTGCACCCGCAGCATCGGCGGCAGCTCAGAGCTCTGTGGGGCAGTCTGCTCTTACTTTGGAAATGCCCATCGCATGCCGACAGTATTGGGACTCTTTGCGCACGTCCAGGCGCGCGAAGATCATCCCAGCATATAACCCCAATTATGATGGCGGGTCTGATCGATGCATTGCGGTGGATAAGGGCGCCCATGCGCGCCAGGTCGCACGTGATATCTTGCGTGGACGCCCGGCGCTCGCGCGTTTGTCCGAGAAGACCGACTTGATGGGGATCCTCAAGGCAGACAACGCTGTCGGTCGGAATCGGACCCATGAGGAGCAGCGCTGCCGCTCAGAATGGCTTGCGACTGCTGTCCGTCACAAGCCATTTCACAACGACCATCAAGCATTGGCTGTGCTGAACTTGATCGGCATGGTCGACAGCACTGGGATGCAGAAAAGCAGGCCCCATATAAAGAAGTGCAAGTTGGCTACTGAGATGTACGAGACATACTTCATACGCCCAAGTAGTGGACGCAGCAGCTCTGGGATTAAATGCCCTGAATCACTGTATATGAGGATAACAGATTTGACTATTCCAGGTGCACCTTTTTTATTTTATGATACCAGAGAAAAACCCAATCAGAATTTAGGGGGGGGGGGGGGGGCTATGGGGCTTTAGGGCCATGGGGCTACAGGGCTATAGGGCGATGTGGCCATAGGGATATAGGGCTAGGAGCCTTTAGGGCTATGGGGCTAAGGGCTATAAGGCTAGTCGGGCTATAGGGCTATATACGGCTATAGGGCTTTAGGACCATGGGGCTATAGGACTATAGGGCTATAGGGCTATAGGGAGATACGGTTATAGGGCTATGGGGCTATGGGGCTATTGGGCTATTGGGCTATTGGGCTATAGGGCTATCGGAGGTGGGGATGAGATCGAAGTGGAACGGCGAGCCCCCCGCCGGGAAATCGGTTTCGGTTTTGTGTTCGTGCATGCCGTGCGTGCGAGGCGAAGCTGCGTGGGCGGGCGAGAAAAAGTCCCCTGTGGCTGAGGCGCGGCCGGACCAAATGTTTCTCTCCCGGGGCGCGGGGCCCCGCGGTACCCCGCCGGTGCCCCGCGGCGTCCTCCTGTGGCTGTGGCGCGGCCGGACCACATGTTTCTCATCCGGGGCGCGGTGCCCCGCGGTGCCCCGCCGGTGTCCCGCGGTGTCCCGCGAGGATGATGCTGATGAGATGATGATGATGATGAGATGATGATGGTGGTGTCTCGATGAAGATGATGATGTTGATGATGGTGTCGATGATGATGATGGTGTCCCGATGGTGATGTTGATGCTGATGATGAGGATGATTCCGATGATGTTGGTGGTGATGATGTTGATGGAAATGGTGCCCCGGCGATAATGAAGTTGATGATGATGATGATGTTGATGATGATTATGGTGCCGATGATGATGCTGATGATGATGGTGATGATGATGGTGATGCGGATGGTGCCCCGATGATGCTAATCATGATAGTGACGATGATGATGATGTTGTTGCTCAGGATGGTGATGGTGCCCCAATGATGATGATGTTGTTGATGATGATGTCGAAGATGATGATGCGATGATCATGGTGATGATGATGATGATGATGATGATGGTGTCCCGAGGATGATGACGATGTTGATGATAATGTTGATGATGAGAACGATGGTGATCATGCTGGTGTCCCGATTATGATGATGACTATGATGATGCTGCTGATGATGCTGACGATGACTGTGTCTCGATTATGATGATGATAATGGTGTTGATGATGCGATGATGATGGTGATGGTGATGATGATGTTGTCCCGATGATGCTGCTGACGTTGATGATGATGTGTGTGATGATGATGATGACGGTGTCCTCATGATGATGACGATGTTGCTGATGATGTTGATGTTGTTGATGTTGATGATGATGATGATGACGTGGATTGTGAGAGGGATTGTGATATCGATAGTGATATCGACATTGGGACCGAATACGAGATCGATTGTGAGATCGATTGTGAGATCAATTGTAAGATCGATCGAATGAGATAGGTCGAGTGAGATCGATTGTGAGATCGATCGAGTGAGATCGATCGAGCGAGACCGATAGTGAGATCGATACTGAGATCGATAGTGAGACCGATCGAGTGAGACGTTGTTTCCCCCCCCCCCCGAACCTCCTTATCACCCGATGGGTGGTCGTATAGGTACGGCTATAGGGCTATAGGGCTATAGAGCTATAGGGGTATATGGCGATTGGGTTATTGGGCTATAGGGATATAGGGCTAATGGGCTAGGCGCCCCCGGGCACTTCTCGGCACCCTGGGCACCCGGGCACCCCTGGGCACCCGGGCGCCCCCGGGCACCCCCGGGCACCCTGGCACCCGGCCCCGGCCACCGAAATCGGCCACGCGTTGGGCACCCGGGCACCCCCGGGAGCCCCCGGGCACCCAGGCACCCTGCCCCGGCCACCGAAATCGGCCGCCCACCTCACCTCAGCTTTATATCCGCTAGCACCCCTACAGAGGCAAGCTCTGATTGGGGAATTCATGGTACCCAGTGGGAAAGCATCCCGAATATATTTCGCATAGGGGTGCCGTGCTGACGACGCCATCAAGAGAAAAGGCAGACAGTTCGTTCATGCTTGTCCATATTCACACGGTGGCAGCAGAATCGTGCCCGGCCTGTGCGTCGATTCCGAGGTATTGGCTATGGTTAGTCTGAAGAACTTGCTGTGGGATAAAATGGCTATTTGGCGCTCAGTAAATGATGGTATAATGTCGGCAGGCTTGAACGGCAGAATGTCTTCGACTCGCATCGCCCAACTGATAGGCATTCTGCCCAGCGACAAGTGCAGGTACAACCGCGTGGGACATGTATGGACCACTCCCTTGTACCTGTGGGACAACGATCAGAAGTATCCGAACAGTGATCTTTCTATCGACGACATGTACGAATTTCAAAACGATGCATCATCGTTGAAGGATTGGTTTCCTCCAAAAACCCATTACAAGTTGAAGTGCCCCTTACCGACGCTCATCCAGGATGTCGAGTTATCTACAACATTTAGGTTGCAAGATGTGTATCAAGCAGGGACACTTGCAGGGGGCATAACATCGACTTGCGGCGATCCAAAGCTTTCACTCAAAAATTCATTGCCGGAAAAAAAAAACAATAATATTATTTCATCGCGCGATGGCTCTTGATGAACACGCGGGCTTGCGCAGTGATTCCGAGCATCGACAATTCGCCGGGGATGAGGGCGATGAGATCATGGTTCATGGCTTTCGTGGATGCAACGTCGCCGCGGTAAGACGAGCAGCGCGGGGCAGGTCCTGCGTTGCATCGACAGCCTTGGCGCGTCCCGTCGCGTCCGAGTTCGGTCCAATTACGCCGCCGGAAAACCTGCCGGTGCCCGCAGCATGGATGAATGCTGCCCTACTATGATCACTCTGCATGACCCCGTTGACAGACACCCCCGCGTTCCTCTGAGCATCCACGCCTTCGTGAATGTGGTGGAGTCTGAATTACAGTATCTCGTGCGATGGATGCCGCACCCGTTTACAAGTCTGTTTCTAGCACAGATTTCAATACCCCTCGCGGCCCTTAAGGGGCATAGCGGTAGGCTGAGAGTATTGTTGGATTTTGGCATCAGAAGCAACGCGCAGTGGTGCGACGCCCGCGACATGACGTCGGATGCCACTCCACGGGCACCGTCGACCGAGACATGCACTTGCAGTTCATGGCAGGCCAACGGAGTATCACGCAAGGCGTCAATCACACGCACCACGTCGAACCAATCAGGTTTCCAGGGCCGATTCTTGACTGCCGTGGCTGCTCCACCGCCGTAATGGAACCGATCGGTCCGGGAGATTGCTCAGCTGCGGCTGTTCTGCGCATAGGAAGGGGGCCGTCGTGCTGGCCCCTCGCAGGGCTTTCGTGGAACCACGGCCGCTCAGAAGCGAACGCGGGCTCCTTTAGCTTGGTCGTGTCGTGGAGTCACGACCCCATGTTCAATCCTATTTGTCGCGGATGCGCGACCTCCTTAAATATGTTTGCGCCGATGTAGGATCAGCCCCATCGGTTCCTACCTAGGCTTGCTGGGCAGACCATCGGGTCCGCCTTGCATCAGCTGTATTTGTTCGGCTTAATTTTGCCCTCGCGCAATTGGTGTTAAGCAGACTGGGCCATGGAATCATGGCACAGCTCTTCGCACTTCGGTTTTTCTTTATGTCGTCGTGGTGGTCAGAGTTGTCGGTCGCCAAAATTTGACACTAGGTTTATTGTTTGCCTTGGACTCATTTACAGAGTAGTGTCTGCCGAGCTGCGCCCCCCCCCCCTCGACTGGGAGGGAACGCCCCAGAGTGGGGCGTTTCAATTTAGTTCGACCGGTGCCATTCTGGTCCAAGACAGCGCCGCCCTATTTGCGGCGCTGGGCCGGATAAGAGGATTTGATCCTGATCCTACCGCCACCATCGCCATCGCATTGTATATTCTACACATTCCGATGTATCTTCATGCGCGATGGCTATTTCGCTTTAGCTTCGTTCCACCACCCGCTGAAAGCACGATGACGGATTTCATTGTTTCGTTTGTTGCCGTTCTCCAGGGAGGTTCAGGCTCCTTCCTCTTCGATTATTTATCGTTCCCTGTAATTTTGTGGATGGGCCTGGGGCCCGCACGTTGCACTTGCATGGTATCAAACGCGCGACGACGTCGGATGCCCCATGAGCGAGGTCGACGGGCCCGGGGCATTGCAGAAAACATATCCGGCTGGAGGATGGCGGTCTGATGGCCGAGTGGAACGCGGCGCACCGCCAGAGCGAGTTGCAGGTCTGGCTTTCGGACCGGGCAGCCATGGGAGGAAAAGGAGGAGGAGGATGGTTAAGGACAGCACGGAGAAAGCGAGGAGGCGTGTTGAGGTATAGAGGAGGACGAGGATACGGAGGAACAGGAGGAAGGAGGAGCAGGATTGTCTTGCTGTTGGTGATGACGGCGATGGTGATGATGATGATGGAGGTGATGGTAATGCTGCTGATGATGATGCTGGCGATCATCATGTTGATGATCGTGGTGCTGATGCTGATGATCATGACGCTGGTGGTGGTGTGGGTTGTAAAGATGATGCTGTGGTGGTGATGATGGTGATGATGCTCATGCTGATGCTGACGGTGAATATCATGATGATGCTAATGTCGATGATGCTATTTTTGGTTATCATAACAAGGCGATAAGGACGATGGTGAAGATGCTGGTTATGCTGGTGACGATGCTGCTGCTGATAACGACGATGACGATGGCGATGACGATGAGGATGAGTTGAGACAGGAGTGGAGATAGGAACATGGGGAAGTCCAGCGAGAGTGGACGATAGTGCAGAGAAGTAATGCAGATGAGTTTGCGGAGAAGGAGGAAGTGGAACAGTAGGAGGAGTGGAATCGAGGAGGTTCAGGGATGGGGAGGAGGAGTCGGAGGAGAATTGCAGTATGAGGATGATGATGATGATGATGATGATGATGATGATGATGATGATGATGACCATGATGATGATGATGATGATGATTATGATTATGACGATGATGATGATGATGATGCTGATTGTGACGATGCTGATGCTGATGCTGATGCTGATGCTGACGACGACGACGACGATGATGCTGACGACGATGACGGTTATGTTGTCGATGATGATGATGATGATGATGATGATGATGATGATGATGATGATTATGATTATGATTATGATTATGACGATGATGGGTGATGTTGATGTTGATGATGATCATGATGATGATGGTGATAGGTAGGACTATAAGTATGAGGATGATGAGGTTTATGATGATGCTGCTGATGATGATGATGATGATGGTGGTGTTTATGATGTGTTGATGATGGTCGTGGTGATGATGACGATTGTGATCACGATGTTGCTGACGATGATGATGATGATGATGATGATGATGATGGTGTTGATAATGATGATGGTTATGACGATGCTGCTGATGCTGATGATGATGATGGTGGTGGTGTTTATGATGTGTTGATGATGGTCGTGGTGATGATGATTACGATAATGATGACGATGCTGATGACGATGATGATGATGATGATGATGATGATGATGATGATGGTGGTGATGCTGCTGATGATGATCATGCTGATGCTGTTGATGATGACGATGACGATGACGATGATGATACAGATATGTTGATGATGAGGATGATGATCATGATTATTATGATGATGATAATGATGATGATTATATTGACGGTGACGATGACGATGATGATGATGATGATGGTTTTGATGATGCTGCTGAAGCTGATGATGGTGGTGGTGTTTATGATGTGTTGATGATGGTCGTGGTGATGATGGTTACGAGACTGATGACGATGCTGATGACGATGATGATGATGATGATGATGATGGTGGTGGTGGTGGTGGTGATGGTGATGTTGATGATGATGATGATAATAAGAATGATGATGCTGCTGCTGGATATTTATGCTGATGCTGTTGATGATGATGACGATGACGATGGCGTTGATGATATAGATATGTTGGTGATGATGAGGATGATGATCATGATGCTTTTATGATGCTGACAATGATCATGTGATGATGATGACGATGACGATGGTGCTGATGATGATGATGATGCTGGCCATGATGATGGTGAAGGCGTTGCCGAGTAAGGGTATAACCTGAGGGAAGGAGGAGGAAGAGGAGGAGGAGGGGGAATAGGAGGAAGAGGAGGAGTAGGAGGAGGAGGAGGAGGAGGACAAGGAGAAGGACGAGGGGGAGATGGATGACGACGACAAGGAGGAGGCTGGAGGACGAGGATGAAGTGGGAGTGGGGAGGGTGATGAGGAGCATCAGCATGTCCTGGACTTCTTTCTGCCCCTCTGCTCCGTCTCTCCTCTTCGGCTACCTCGCCCCGCGGGGCTGGAAGGATCGGCGACCCGCAGGTCCGGCCCATGGACCGCATCGAGACGGTCAACGGCTTCAGGGACCAGCTGAAGCAGCGGTGCAGGCAGGCCGAGCTCCTCCGTCTGTCCATGGCGGGAGGGGAGGGTTGTCAAGTCAAGTCAAGTGCACGTCGGTCGTTCACCCAGATCCCTATCTACTTGAGGAGCCGTCCTGCTTCAAGAGTCGATGTGTTTTTTTTGCTGTTCTCTAGGCGGGCCTGGACCCAATCTACTCTGTCCGCCTTCCTTCTTCATATTTTGACCTGCTTCTTCCGACCGACGTGTAAGCCTTGCATCAGGCGGCGTGTGCCCTCTCTGCTCCGGCCTTCGGGCAGGGGAGGCTGAGCCAATTTGGCTGATTGGAGGCGGGGAGGGGGCCATCGCGCGTCGTTGCCAGGAGTGAGCGACCGGGGCGCGCGGCTCGTGGCCTCCGCCCGGCGCGACGGGCGCAGGGCACCGAGCGCAGGGCTCCCCGTCGGAGCAGGGTGACAAGAAGAAGACATGCAAGCAAGGCAGCCCGAGTGCCTTCAGCACCTGGTCCACGCTTTCACCGCGCGTTCCCAGGCTCGCGCTTCAACGCCCTCCTTGGGCGGAGATGAGCAAAGAGTCGTTCGCGGCTGCCTGCGAGGCGAGGAGTGATGATGACGAAAAGGATGTTGTTGCTGATGATGATCACCGCGGGAGATGTGTGTGTGTTTGGGTAGTGTCGTTGATGACAAGGCTGGTGATGGTGATGAAGATGGTGGTGTTGATGATGTGATCAGTACGACGTTCTTTGTGATGTTGTCGATGACAATGATGACGACGACGCTTATGATGCTGCTTATAATGATGGTGATTATGGTGATGATCATGGTGATGGTGCTGGTGCCGGGGATGCATGAATGATTATAATTCCGATGATATGTGGGTTGGTCATGGGGATGATGATGCTGCTGATGCTAACGATTTCGATTATTATGCTGACGCTGATGCCAACGATGCTGATGACAGTGTTGGTGGGAATACCGACGACGGTGATGACGCTAAGGACGACGGTGATGCTGACGACGACGATGACGATGATGCTGACGATGACGATGACGATGACGATGACGATGACGATGACGATGACGATGACGATGATGATGATGATGATGATGATGATGATGATGATGATGATGATGATGGTGGTGGTGGTGGTGGTGGTGGTGGTGGTGGTGGTGGTGGTGGTGATGATGATGATGATGATGATGAAAATGAAAGAGAAGACGATGTTGCGCCTGACCATGTTGAAAACGATGGTGAGGATGACTGTGACACTGTGATAGTGTTTGCGTTTTTGTTGTTTGTGGTCATAGGGTGTGGAGGGTGGTCATTGTTTGTGTGACATGGAGGACAAGGAAGGGGGGGGTGGAGAAGGAGGTGGGAGGGAAGGGATGTGGAAGCGGGGGTGGGGCAGGGAGGAGTGGGGGGAAGAGGAGGAGGAGGAGCAGGAGGAGGAGGTAAAGGAGGAGGGGGAAATGGGGAGAATAGAGAGGGAGGGGGGACGAAGGAGACGGAGGAGCCGCGGGAAGGAGTGAGGGGGCATTTGGGAAGAGGGGCGATAAGGGAGGGGGAGAAGAGGGACGGATTAGGAGGATGGGGAGGAGGAGTGGAAAAGGGGAGGGGGAGGGTAGGGTGGAGGTTAGAATCGGGTGGAGGGGGGGGGGAGTGGAAGGCCGGCCATGGCGGCTAGGAGTGGGAGGGAAGGGGAGCAGGGAGGGGGCCGGGACTATGCTGGAGAGGGAGGGGTGCTGGTGTGGAGAGGATGAAGGAGGAAGAATGGGGAAGGAGATGGAGGATTTGGGCCATCTCCAAAATCCCTCCCCCAGACCTCCCGACGACAATCTTTTCGTTCCCGCGTGGACCCTGGGAGGTCTCGACCCCTTCCCCGGGGCAAGCTTTTGGCACCCTGGGCCGCCTTCTGTGCCTGGCCCCGCGGGCCGAGCGCTGCCCTCCCCCGCCCCCGCCCCGCCCCGCCCCAGAGGCAGGTACATACCAGGGCTGGACCTGCACGCTGTTTTGCTGTATTTTGGCTGTGTTCTGTTTTTCGCTTTGGGAGGGAGGTACAGGAAAACAGGTCGAGCAAAACGAAACACAACGAAAACAAAACGAAAAACAACGTTTAGGTCCAGCCCTGGTACATACCGTCAAATATTCCCGTCGATCTTCTCCACGACGGGATGGGCCACCAGGGAACGCGTGCGCGTGCCTGGGGCCAACCTGCGTGCGTGCGGCTGACGGTCGCCCTCGCCGTTTGCCGTCGTGTGATTTCACGTGTGCAGATGGGCATCCTATACCGGCAGGTGCTGCTTTCAGGTGCCCTCAGCATCACGCTCGGAGAAGAGTTCTGGGCCCTCCTCCGCCCCGTTCTCACGCGTCTCCTCATCCTGGGCCAGAGCGCGCCCCGAGAGCCCGTGGTGCGGCCTTCGGCCTTCCCAGAAGTTCGCGGCGGACCAGCCACTGGGCTACGGGAGGCCTCACCGAGCCAGGACTCCTGAATGTCGATCTTCGGTCTTCCTCCTCCTCCTCCTCCTCCTCCTCCTCCTCCTCCTCCCCCTTCGATCCGAACGGTACATCATTGTCTTGTCCAACCCTTTTCCTCTCTTAATCGTCTCTTCCCACCGCCGCTGTTTTTGGTCGTAGCCACGATAGGTTGACCAATCGTACCCGTGCTGTGCACGTTATATGCCCATGCCGTGCTATTCGGGAAAAGACCACCCTCTTTGCCATCCGCCCTTGCATTTGTTTCTAAGTCGCCCTATCGGGAGGCCGCGCGCGTCTAGGGAACCCGAACGGCCAGATGCATGGCGTTGTCCTTTACGTCGTGGAGACCATTCCGTAGCCTGTGGACCGTTCTTCCGTCTGTTTCGATGCCTCCGCGATCACCACTCTCCCAGGATTCGCCCTATTCCCTCGCACCGTGTCAGGAGTTCTGGCGGCAGGAAACGGAGACCGACAGAGGCAGGAACGCAGCAACGTACGCAGGACATAAGGATGAGCAGCAGAGACATTCACAGCCGTCGTCAGAGCGCTTCCCGACCCGCAACAGTAAACCATGTGCCTAGTGGCGAAGCACATCCTCAAGCTCAGCCAGCAATGCCGGGATCTTTGAGTAATCGTTATCGACGCGTTTTTGGTCTCCGCAAACAGTATGTTCCCCACCGCATTGATCGAGCAGATCGTGGCGCACGCGGCGGAGGCGATAACCAACAGCGAGGATGACGGATTGGGCACGCGACACGAGGTTTGACACTTTAGCAAGCCGCCGGCGCACTGATCAGATTGCTAAGCAAACGGCGATGTCACAGTGACATCCGTGGCTCCATGTGGCTTCCTGGGGCGTCGGTCGGTGGCAGCAGGTGGGGCCAGGACGGCCCCGGCCCGGGGCCGCTTCCGCGGCCCTGTTGCGTCGAGTATGGCGTATGCACCTTCCTCCCAAAGCGGAGGTTCGCCGTTCGGGCAGATTGCTGCCAGTTCGGTGTTGTATTCGGAGCCCGCTGCTGCGCGATGTCTGCCAGCAGGAGTGAGCGTTGCAATCGCATGACAGTCGGACAACAACGGCCCTAAGGGTGTGCGTGCCGTGTCGTATCCTCGCCTTCCTTCACCCTCGTCCTCCTCACATCTCCTTCGCTTCCTCGTGTGCTGTTTTGTTTTCTTCGCCCCTGATCGGGGGAGGTGCGCGATCTCCTGGAGCCCGACGCGTTCGTGGAGGCCAAGCGGAGAGACATGGACGCATGCCTCGAGCTGTTCTACCCGTCCTGCGCCTGGCACAGGATCTCCTTCTGCTCCCCTTTCCTCCCTCCCTCCCTCCCTTTTCCTTCCCCACTTCCGCCTCCCTTCACCTCGTCGTCGTCCCCGTCCTCCTCGACGCCTCTTCCACCTGCACTTTCTCCCTTCCCTCTATCTCTCCTTTTCCGTCCCTCCCTCCTTCCTTCTCGCTTCCACCCCATTTTATCCCTTCTGTTCCCTCCCCCATTCAAGGATAAGTGGAGCCGCTTTCTTCTTCCTCATCGTCCTTCTACCTCTTGCTCTTCCTCCCTTCTCACCTGCTCTCTCCAGGAGGAGGCGGGGGAACTCCTGCTCCCCCTCCCCCTCTCCCTTGCTCTTCCACCTACCCTCCCTCCTCCCTCTTCTCTCCGCGTCCTCGTGCGTGAACTGTCCGCTGTCACGACCATGAGTCCCCTGAGAGTTCTTGCAGACGGCTGGACTCCGCGATACGCATCCTTGAGAGATGGAGATGCAGGATCCTCATGGGCAAGCATCCCCGAACGATCAGTTTCGGCAGGCATGGCCAACTTTATCCACCTCCTCCTCCTCCTCCTCCGCCTCCTCCCCCTCCTCCTCTCCTCTTCCTCCTCCTCCTCTTCCTCCTCCCTACTCATCCGCCTCATCCTTCTTCCTCCTTTTTCATCCTCCCTCCCCCCCTTGCCCTCCCCCCCCAAGAGGAGGCGAAGGACGGTGGAGGGGGCGAGGGGGAGTAGCCCTTATGTGTACGCTGTTGAGCCCAGGCGCTGAAATGAGGACCGCCTTGGGTTTTCCGGGCCTCTCCTCCGTCTCAGGTGTTGGGTGGAGAAGCACCTACGATCGGACCGAGGTGTAAGCTCGAGGTCAGTACCCTATTGTTATTGAATCGCTTCGCTCATTCCGCCGGCCCATTTCGCATGACTGAGCCTCTTGGGGCCGCTGGGGGGCCTCTTCAGCGTCGCTTGGGGGCCTCCTGAGGGCCTCTTGGGGGCTTTTGGGGCCTCTCAGGGGCCTCTTGAGGCCTCCTGTAAGGCCGAGGGCTCGAAGTTTTGTTTTGTGTTCCCCCTTTGGGGCATCGCTTGGGGCCCTCTTGGGCCCCTCTTGGGTCGTCTTGGATGCCTCTGGGGCCGTCTTGGAGCCCTCTTGGGTCATCTTGGGGCCGTCTTGGGAGCTTCTTGGGCCCTCTTGGAGCGATCTTGGGGGCCTCTTGGGCCATCTTGGGGCGTCGGGAAGCCGAAAAGATGGACACGCCAAAATCTGCCCAAAACCTAAGGAAAAGTAATGATTTTTGCCTCTTGGGGCCCTCTGGGGAGTGCTCTTGGAGGCCTCTTGGGGCGTCTGGGGGCCATCTTGGGCGTCTTGGAACGATCGTGTGGCATCTCGGAGCACTCTTGAACCATCTTGGATGGCTCTTGGCGGCCTCGTGGCCCTTCTTGGGGCTCTCTGGAGGGCCACGGGGTCGGCGCCCAGGAGGAAAACCATCTCTGACCCGAGTCTGCCGGGGATCGCCTGGGGTACTTTTCGTCCGGGGACCCCCAGGGGCCACCCCGCGCGCGCGAAGTAGAAGTATGATTTAGCAGTTACCGGAGATCTTAGCACGCCTCTGGCCCGTTGGGCCGGCGAATTCGTGCTCATCGGATGTTTTTGTGAATTCTGGGGGAGGGCACACTCGAAGGTTTTTTAGTCTGGCTGGTTGAGGGTCTCGTGTTCTTGAAGGATGTTCTTTCTGTCCTAGGTCCGGCCGTTCTCTGCTCCCCATCTTCTCCACCCTCCTCGCTCCTCCTCCGCCTGCTCCTCCCCGTCCTCAGTATTGTCGTCCTCGGCTCCCGTCCTCGCTCTCCTCGTTCCTGTCAGGCAGCTGCTGCTGCTCCTTCTCCTCTCCACAAGTGCACAATCAGAGTACTGCTCTCCTCTCTCCCCTGACTACGTCCTGGAAGTGCCCCGCCCTCTGCGTGCATTTTCTTTTCCACAGGAGCTCTAAAGTTGGAATTTCATATGGCCGGTTTTCACTGGAACGTTTCGGTGTCTCGTGCACATGTTGTTCCCGCTGCAGCGTTAGCCTCATCTTAGGATCGGCGCTCTGCCCCCGTCGTCCAGAAATGGCGCTCTCGCTCCAGCGAGGGCCACGTGCGGATCCGAGCCCTTCATTACCCGTCGCAGTCGCCCCGCTCCTTTCCCATCCTCCACGGTCCCCCTGCCCTCCTACTCCTCTCGCTCCTCCTACTCCTGCCCCCGATGCCGCTGATCTTCGTTCGTCCTCCTTCCTTTCCCATCATCATCACGTCCTCCTGCTCATCTTCCTGCTCATCCTTCCTCCTGCTCATCCTCCTGCTCATCCGCCACCACCACCACCACATCCTCCTCCTCCTTCGCCCCAGCCGTACCTGCACGTTGTAGAGTCCAGGCTCCGAAGTGGAGGGGCCGCCTTCCTCCGCTCCAGGCGTCGTGGGGGGGCCGTTCTCCTGGCGCCGAGGCCCGCCGCGGCCAGAGAAGGCACGCGCCCTCCTTCAGAGATCTGTTCGGGACTCCATCAGGGGGCAGTCTCCGACGGCCCATGCTCCCCCACAATCCGTCCATCGATGTGCATGTGGAGAAGATCGAGGGAGGTGGATCGGGAGGGGGGGAGGGGGGGAGGAGAAGGAAGAGGAAGGAAGGAGGAGGAGGAGGAGGAGGAGGTGGACGGAGGAGGTGGACGGAGGAGGAGGAGGAGAAGGAGGAGAGGATGGAGGAGGCGCAATAGGAGGAGGATCCTGCGGCAGCACGAGGACTCTACGTTGTGAGCTCACCCCCTGGCAGGAACGTCGTCTCGATAGGCGACTCGGTGGCCGAGCAGCAGGCGCTGAAGCAGGCGCTGCACCAGTGCAGCTCCGAGCCGCGCGCCACGCCCGAGGCCCGCCCGAGTGCGCGGCAGAAGCAGCGCCCTGCCGACCCTCTCGTGATCGGCCTGTTTTCCACCACTGCCACCACAAGTTGGAGGGGGGAAGTAGGTGGAGGAGCAGGAGGAGGAGGAAGAGGAGGACCCCCTCCCTGAGATCTGGGCGTTCTATCTGACGGTGGGGGCGTTGGTTAAGGAAGGTGTCCGGGGGGCTTCAGACCCTGGAGGGTTCCTTATCTGATGAGGGCGGCGGTAATATCCACTGCCAATCCGCCATGGGAGTTCCACTGGCTTCCAGGCCCTGGATTCCTTATCCAATGCTTCCTTATTCAATGCTCCCACCGTTCCGTAGCCATTTTGGCTCAAGTCTGCTCCGCCGCGCGCGGCGCGGGCGGCTGGGTGATGGCGACGGGGGGCTGCCCGACCGGGAGGCGGCCCATGCGCGTGCAGGAAGATGCTCTTCTCGGCGCCACGGCAGCGCGGCGCGCGGCGCGGCGCAGGCGGCTCCTGGCCTGCGAAGCTGGCCTACGCCGGGCGCTCGGGGACAGAGGCGGCGCGGGGCCTGGATCCTGGAGGGACCGCGAGGCGGCTTCCCGCCCCGCCCTGCGAGCAGCTGCAGCGGGCAGGCGAGTCTGTGGCAGCTCCCGACTTCGCCGCAATGTGGCGTGGCATGCTGCGCAGCCGCCTGCGTGTGGGTTTGCCCAGGCCTCGAGGGCAGCCCTTGAGGAGGCCGCTGCAGGGCCAAGGCTCGTGGCCTTTGGCGGGGGCGCAGCGGGGCCCGAGGGCGCGCAGAAGCTGGAGCAGGCGGTCCCGCAGGTGCAGCAGTCGGTGCTGCACGAGGAGCAGCTCCAGGCAGAGCCCGAGGGCGACCTGGGCGAGGGCTTGCTGGCGCCAGGCTGCTGGCAGAAGTGCGACCCTGAGCTGGAGGCGCGGGCCTTCGGAGCGGGCGTCGCTTGCGGCTGGCGGCTGGCGACGCGGCGCGCGGAGGCCTCGATGGCCCCCCCCGCAGCCGAGGCCAGCGGCGGCTCCGAGAGCACTGTGGAGTGCGACGTGGAGTCGGAGAAGGAGGTTCCCACCTGCTCGTCTGTTTGTTCGCGCGGCATCAGCGACAAGATGTGGAGAGCAAGGTCGGGGATTTCTCGCACGTGGTTGGAGCCGCCCCCGCGGGAGGCTCGGCGCCAGGCGTGCGACGATGCGGCCGAGGACGCGCACAGCAGAGTGATTGCGGCCGAGTCCGAGGCGGAGCTGTTCTTCCTCGACTGGTCCGGGCAAGACTCTGAGTGCGGCATCGATAGGGTGAAGCTCATCCAGGAGTTCGTGGGCGAGGGCTTCGACATCGGCTTGATGCTCGACTTCCTCGGCCCCCCTTGGTTTCTGGAGCGCTTCACCGAGATCGACGGCGTCATCCACTGCATCGAGGTCTGGGACGCCGAGAGCGCAGGCGGCGGTGACGCCTGGGAGGACCTCTCGGCGGTGGCGCAGCGGCAGCAGGGCATCGACGGCGATGGCAAGGAGCTACCGCATGCGGCCGAGGGCGCGCACAGCATGGAGCTTGCGGCAGAGTCCGAGGCGGAGCTGGACGACCGTGCGGGCCTCTCGGCGGAGGACCAGATCACGGCGCAGTTCCGAGACGCGTCGGCAGGCCTCTTGGCGGACCTTGAGGCGCAGCTGGCGCGCGTGCGGGCGAGTAGGTAGTCGGCCTGCCGCCCCCTCTTTCGAATTCATGCATGAAACCTCCGCGGGACTCGTCGCGCGGAGCCCACAGAGATAAAAAAATGCTCCCGCCGTATCACGCTGGGCGTACTTTCGCCTGGCTTTTCGGGCCCCTGGGGCGATTGTCGCGGATCGATCCTGCTCGCGAGATGCCGCAGAAGGTTCGGTCCATTGCTTCGCATCTTCGGTGGACCCCCCTGTCCTTTAAATTGCCGTCTTCTCGTGGTTTCGACGCTGATTCGACGTGATCTCGACGTGGGTTCGACGCGGATTTGACACGGGTTCGACACGGACTCGACGTGCTCGGCGAGTATTCAACAAGGATTCGACGCGTATCGCGGCGCGACAGGACAGTCAAGGTCCCCCGAAGATGCAACGTAAGGTCCAAGGATTGAGGCTCCGGTCGTGATTTCTCTCGATGATGTAATAGTGCTAGGGCCTTACGGCCGGCGCCGCCGACCCTGAAAACGACGACGACGAATATGGGGAGGAGGAGGAGGAGGAGGAGGAGGAGGAGGAGGAGGAGGAGGAGGAGGAGGAGGAGTGGGATTAAGGTGGAAGGGAGCAGGAGAAGGCGAAGGAGATGTTCCCCATGTGGGCCGATGGAGTCGTAGCAGACACAGACAGGGAGCCTTGTGGCCTGCGGCCCTTCCCGCCACCGTGCTGGGGTTGTGGTTGAAAGGCCTCTCGGATGTTTTCGGGCCTGTTGGGGCCTTTGTTGGGCCTCAGCCTAAATCGTTCCGAAACGCATAGGAAATCAATGAATCTTGCCTCATGGGAGCCGTCTTGAGAGTGATCCTGAATGCTTCTGGGTGCGTCTTGCACGCCTCTCGACCCGTCTGGAAGCCGTGACAGATCATTCGGCGATGTGGGGCACTCTTAGACTTTCTTGGGGCCTCTTAGGGCACTCTTGGCGCGTCTAGGCGCTTTTTTGGGCTCCAGGACGCCCGGGGGAAGATGCGTATCTGACGCCTCCCCGACCCCCCCCCCTCGGCGGTCGGCGGGGGAGGGATCAAAGGGAAGGGGCTTCCCTTCGACTTAAGGACGACGTTGCTATGGTTTTCTCTCGCTTGCAGGCTTGAAGAGGAGGGTGCAGGGAAAGGGGACGAAGGAGACTCAGGGAAAGAGGACAACGGATGCGTCGACTGAGCGCACGCCGAGAGGGGGTCCACACGCCGACAGGGTCGGCGGATTTCGTGACGTCGGATCTCAGGGTTGGGCAAGGATGGAGGGGATAGGGAGGAACGGATGCCGACAACGCTGCTCGTCCTGGAGAGCACTCGTGACCACGGCTGGATTCTCTTGGAGACTCTTGGGTCGGATGCGCCCCAGCAGAGGTCTAGGGAGTAGGGGTCTGGGTACGTAGCACCCCGCAGATGCGGATAAGAGTGAGGGGGTGGTGGGGACGTCGGCAGTTTGCGAGACTCTGGAGAAGCCCGCCGCAGGCGCCAAAGTTTCAAAATCATAGCGAGCCCGCCGCAGGCGCAGATTTTTTCGTTAAACCAAAGTGGGTAGGTCGCGGGTGGGTCGCAAAGGTCGCGGGTGGGTCGCGGGTGTACAGGGCAGAAAATCCACACCATCAGAATGACCCCGACAAGCGACGCCGTTTAGTAAACGCACACAAGGAATGAATCGAACAGGGCAGGGCTGTTTGGTCAACGCCCAGGGCCGTTTAGTAAACGTCAATTGTCGGGTTCAGGTTGTTTTTCCTCCCTTGAGGGTGGGTCGCGGGGTGGGTCGCGGGTGGGTCGCGGGGTGGGTTGCAGATGGGCCGCGGATGGGTCGCGGATGGGTCGCGGGGTGGGTCGCGGGGTGGGTCGCGGGGTGGGTCGCAGGGTGGGTCGCAGGGTGGGTCGCGGGGTGGGTCGCGGGGTGGGTTGCGGGTTGGTCGCGGGTGGGACGACGACAACAAACAACAACAACATCAACAACAACAACAATGATTTTACCATCATGCGCGATGCTTCCACACGAAGCATGCGACCATCATGATAACCATCCACATCATCGGGGACTCTTGTTCTATAGCGGGGCCCGTTATTCCCATTCCCAGATCTCCCGCCCAATGAGGTCTTGCAAACACCTCCTCCAGGAATTTCAACATATCCCGCTTCGAAAACACATGCCCGCGCCTTGCTGCGCCGATGCGGGACCGCCAATGGAACCCCAGCGATGGGTAAAGCACAAGGAAGTATCGAACGACAGGATTGCCTTGGTGGGGATGGGGGTTGTCGGCGGTGAGGCAAGGACCTGGCCCTGAATAGAAAGGGAGGACGTCTCGAGCAGGGCTGCTGTTGTTGCTGGGGGCGGCGCCAATGCTGAAGAGAGTAGGGCGCTAGTCCAGCGTAAAACAAAACGAAGTCTCGAGCGGGAGCGCTGGTTTTGTTGGGACGGCGGCTTTCGGCGGCGAGGAGGAACACCGCCTTGAGTAAGAAAGGAGGACGCATGGAACGGGAACGCTGGTTTTGTCGGGACGGGGGTTGTCGGCGGCGAGGAACAGCACCGTCCCAAGGAACAAAAAGGAGGACATCTCGAGCGGGAGCGTTGTTTTCGCTGGGGGCGGCGCCAATTCAAAAGAGAGTAGGGCGCCGCTCCTGCGTAAAACGGAAGGAAGTCTCTAGCGGGAGCGCTGGTTTGGTCGCAGCGGCGTTTTCTGGCGGCGAGGAGGAACACAGCCTTGCGTAAAAAGGGAGGACGCATCGAGCGGGAACCGTGGTTTTGTCGGGACCGGGGTTGTCGGCGGCGAGGAACAGCACCGTCTTCAGAAAAAACGGATGAAGTCTCGAGCGGGAGCGTTGTTCTTGCTGGGAGCGGCGCCAACGCAAAAGAGAGTTGGGCGCCAATCTAACTAACAACGAAGGAAGTCTCGGGCGGGAACGCTGGTTTTGTCGGGGCGACGGTTGTCGGCGGCGAGGAGGAGTACCGCCTCGAGTAAAAAAGGGGGGAGTCTCGAGCGGGAGCGTTGTTGTTGCTCGGGGGCGGCACCGATGAAAGAAAGAGCAGCGCGCCTGTCCAAGGGAAAACGGGGGAAAGTCTCGAGCGGGAACGCTGGTTTTGTTAGGACGGCGGCTTTCGGCGGCGAAGGAGGACATCTCGAGCGGGACCGTTGTTGTTGGGGGGCCGGTTTTGGGTCCCCCCCTCACCGCTCGAGCGTGAACCTCATTTTCAATGAAAATGTAACCGGCGCCTCGGCGAGAGCGCCAGGGCGTCTATAAGGGGTCCAACAATATTCGTTGTTCAGTAATTAAGATTCAACAGCAATCACTTTCCATCGCGCGCCATGCTTCCACATGTCACATACA